CCCTCAGACAGGTCCCGCCAGCCCAGTTAGGCTGGCCGTGGGCCTCCCCCCCCGTGGGCCTCCCCCCCCCCGCCAGTCCAGGTAGGCCATCCGCGGGCCTCCTGCCCACCCCCCAGACAGGCCTCCGATCCCCCAGACAGGCCCTGCCCCCCCCCAGGTAGGCCAGCCGCAGGCCTCCCTCCCTCTGAGGCAGGCCCCACCAGCTCAGGTAGGCCTGCTTTTGGCCTCCCACCCCCCAGGAAGGCCCCGCCAGCCCAGGTAGGCTGGCCGCGGCCCTCCCATCCCCCAGCTCGCCTCAGAATCCAGCTGGGGGGGTATGATGGGCCCTACCTGCATCAAGGCTCTCCTGAGGGCTGAAGAATGGTCGGCAGGCAAATGGCCACAGCTGCTCCTCCGCTGATCTTCTCCTGATGGCTGAAGAAGGCTAGTCAGGCAAATGGCTGCTCGGCTGCTGAGGTAAACTGTTCGGATTGGAGTTTTGGCGGGAGTGGGCTCTGTGGACGGGACTCAGGCACACCTTCTGATGGGCAGTTCAGGCAGCCAACTGATTTTGTCAAGCATAGAATGTTGCCATGATGTTTTATATCTTATGTTTTAATGCTGTTATGTTTACTCAATGAAATGTTTAATGAAATGTTGTGACCTGCCCTGAGCATGTTTGTGGGGGAAGGCGGGATATAAATAAAATGAAATAAATAAATAAAATTTAGATATAATTGTGGGAAATGAAAGTGTAATTTTACAAACAAATCCTGAGAATGTAACTCCTGGAAGGGGATGTGAATGTGATATGCATTAATATTCATGTGTGCTTAAAAAATGAAATTGTCTCATCACTTGATATGATTGCAAAAAAAAAAAAAGATTCTGTAATTTCAGCCATTGCATAACAATTTTTTTTGCGTGAAATTGTGATGACGACATGTCAGCTGTCCTGACTAGATCAGCTATCTGAAGTAGAGGTCTCTTATCAAATGAATGCAGTACATATCTGTGAGAGACGTGGTTTTTGTTAGAAAAGCTTCATTGGTCACTGTCACCTCAGCTGGTTTTGTGGATGTGCCTTCAGACAGCACTGTGGATAGGGACATGGCTCAGTGGTAGAGCATCTGCTTTGTATACAGTGGGTCCTAGGTTCAATTCCTGGCATCTCCAGTTTGAGTGATCAGATAGTAGGTAATATGAAAAACCTGAGAGTAGACATTACTGACTTCAGTATACCGGTGGTCTGACTCAGCTTCATGTGTTCATACTGGTCTAAGACAGAAGTCTATTGTATGTGTGTACCAAGCCAGTGATGCACTTGTCTGTCGAATGATGAATACTTATTAGATGAAAGGTTGATCTCCATCTTTCCTTGGAACAGCAGGATGACTTAGGGACTCAGATGTTAACTTTTCAAAATTTATCTTCTTAAAATGCTGTTAGGATCAAAAGAAAAGGGTTTAAATGCAGGAGATGACTCAGTTATTTTAGAAGTCCTTTTGCAAACCTATCTTCTCCAATGAGAATTCTCATCACAGAAAAAGGATGTAGAATTGAGTACTCTGTATTCTTTGTGATAAGGAAGTTTTGTAAGGTGATTTATTCTATGCTTGATTTGTCTGCCCCTCTTCTGAACAGGACACAATAGACCAGTGGTGGCGAACCTATGGCATGGGTGACAGAGGTGGCACTCAGAGCCTTCTCTGTGGACACGCGTGCCATCGCCCCAGCCAGGCCCAGACCATCATTAAAGTGTCGAATTCTCTGCCAAATAATTTTAAGTAAATGAAAGCATTTGGGATTGCTTTCCTTACTTTGTTTGGATCATCTTAAGTTAATGTATGAGTTGTTTTTTCTAAAGTAAAACCTCAGTATTCAGATTAAATTGCCATGTTGGCACTTTGCAATAAATAAGTGGGTTTTGGGTCACAGTTTGGGCACGGTCTCTAAAAGGTTCGCCATCACTGCAATAGACAAGGCCTCCAATGAAAATTTCAGATTGGGGGGGGGACTATAAAGGTAGTGCTCTTCTATTTTTGTCTTGACTCCTCTGGAAACCAGAATTAAAAGGGAACTTGTGGAAAATGGGTATATGCCCTGTAACTGGTCATGCACACTTGGTACCATTAAATAACCCCTTACTGTCTTTTAATAATCCTCTTTTGTAACTTGCCTTCATATATGCCACATTTTTCTGTTGTAATTAAAACGCAACTTGTGTTTTTGTGTTCTCCCTACTTGGGATCTACAATCCCCAGCAAAACACAAGGCTGTGAGGAGCAATTACCTGCTTTGCAGGTGAGCAACAGAAAAGAATTAGGACTCAAGTGTCTTGCCTGGAGACCTCCTTTGGCAAGAGAGTTCCATAAGATCATTTAGTAAGTGAGTGGCAGGTCCAGAAGCTACCCAAAGCCTAGACTCCTGGTTCCTTATTCTTTACAGTCACAACTTATATGTCACTTCAAAGCTAGGTGGAGCAATCTGTTGCATTTAATTTATTTTGTTTTCTTCTCAGGGATCCCATCGGAAAGAAGAGATCTGGTAAGGCAGTTGTTCCTCTTAATAGTTCTGCTTCACTTTTGATAAAATGTCCACACCCAGTGACTAATACAACGTTTGTGGGAATGTGTACTTCTGTAGGCACTGTAGCATTTTCGTATGATGGGAAGAATTCTTTCCCAAGTCACTGACTTGTTTCTACTTCTTAAATGTTGCTCTTCTCCCATACTTTATTTCTGTTTCAGTTTACAGACTGACGAAAGACAGAATATGTGAAAAAGATACTTTTATATATCATTCTGGCATCTGTATGCTGTCTGTGTTGGGTTCTTTGAATTTCCTAGTCTTTGGTCTAGGCTCTTCTGCATGCCTTATCCACTGTTCCTGGATCTCTAGCAGAAGCAATCTGTTTGCAGCTAAGATTGCCATTAACCCAGGCTTGAAGCAGGCCATAGACTATGAAGGCTAGTGAAAGCTGGCATTTGATGTTGTGTGGGAGAACGTGGATGTCAGAAGTGAACTCCTGTTGTTAAAGTGGAGGGAAAAGCAGGCTACAGGATTTACATAAGGGAGAGAGACACTGTGGAAGTGGGATGAGACAAAAATGCCCCTATGATGTTCTCTTTTGTCTTGAGCAACTGTTGTAACCTCAGAATTATTTATTTATATTATGCCCTTCAGTCATAATGTTCTCAAAGTCTTAACTGTTTTTCTCTGTCCATACAATGTATTAGTCGCTACTGCTGAGTGAATACTGTAGTTCTAACCCCGAGAGGTCTTTGATGTCTCAGAAGGCAAGAAGGAGGAGCCCAGGTGCTGGTGCTCTCCTCTGATGTTGGGATGAATGGTGGTATTTCTTAAAAACCAATCAAGTGGGAGTTTGGTGTTGAGTGGATGAAATTAAGCTTTTCTGCCAGGACTCAGAGAAAAGGGTCCTTTTCAGTTGGATGATAAGTGGCAGTTGAGGATTGATACTTGGACCAAAGAGGAGGAGGGGTTGAGGGTCTGAAGAAGAGAGAACTAGATTCCCAGAAAATGTATGAAGTAAATCTGCCACTTAGAGGGTTGCCAACAGGCCTGGAGGGAAAATGTTCTGTCTCTTTAATAGAAGCTTAATGTGTAGAAATGGGGCAGTTGATGCCTTTCATGGCATGGAGGTAAATAAGATTCCACTAACCCTCTGTTAAAGGGACATGGCATTTTTTTCTCCAGGCTTCTGTTGGCCTTAATTGCTTAATGCTTTAATATTTTAAAAAGAAAACCCTAATTTGGTCTTACTCTTAGCATCTATATATTAAATAACTAGTTATTTAAATTTCAAAAACTGTGTGGACATACAGTTTGTACAATATCTGCACCTGGTGCTTTAGTACACTCCCACACAGTCTCTTGAAGGCTGTTAGTTGGGGGGTTTCTTAAGAAAGGAGGAAAAAGTCTCTTACTAAATTAGCAACCTATGTATTAGTAATATAAGCAGGAGTGGAAGCTATAAAATAATTATTTAGGCATAGTGTCAGTAATGGCAGCAAGTATATATTAGGCAAAACTAGCAATCTTGCGAATTTTAAAATCCTAGTGAAATAAGGATATGAAACCAGCTGAACACTGCATGTGGACACACACACAAAAAAGGGTGTTCATCCTTGCTTAACAATGCAGCCATTAGACTCTTCTCTGTGTGACTTTTATTTCATTAATTAGTTTAATTGCATAGCAAAGCAGGCAGATCAAGATATTTCTACCAAGTTCATCCATTAGGTTTTGATCAAAGGAATTTGGCAGCCTTGCAACACTGCTGAAAGCAAGCACGTATATGATTTTTCTTCTCAATCTTGAAATCTTTCTATTTGATTCTGGAATGTAGTGCACTCCAAAGCACATGCAGAACAGAAACCCAATTCATGGTGCAATTACACATTAACTTAGTCCTCCCTGTTCTCTTCAGTTTCCTTACTGGAACAAACAATATGATTCTGAGTGCCACCTGGGTAAAGACATAATAAACCTGAGAAGAAATTTGTTTAGTCTCAGTGAATACTGGATGGATCAGGCCTGCCAAGCACATTCCAGCCCACAAATGCACCAAAGACATGTGATAATAGCAGTATTATCATTGGTGGTGTTCAAGGGTTGACATGTACTAATACTTATTAGTAGTCACGAACATGGTCTCACTTACTATATTTTCCTTCTAAATTACTATTCTTGCCTTGTGGTGATTTCAGATTGTATTGTGGGAAATATAGTACCAGTGCAAGCCTTGTTCTTAGAAGTTGTAGCATGAATAAACAGACATATTTTTCCTGTTGTAATCTGTTTTCCAAAGGGGTCACACACACACACACACACCCATTGCATGACTGTAATGTACAGTTTATTTAGGCTCATAGAAATGGTTTTACTTATTTTGGTCAGTGGTATTCAGGGACCAGTTTTTATAGGTGGTGGAATGTGGGAACTTAAATTTTCCCATGCAACTGAAGGACTACGTTAAAAATATATGAAAGTGTACTATTGGCTGCTTTGTGAATACAAAACATTATCTTGTTCTTATTATTCAAAAGATGCTGCCAGTTGCTTGGTAGTTTCTGAAACAAGACTCTTACATTCTGACCCTAGACTCAATTTATCTATCTTAGATTACATGTGTTGCTGGTTGTATTAATATTAAGATGAATAAGAATACATCATCAGCGTTCATGACATGTAATTTCCTCTAGTTTCAGTAATAATTACAGCCAAATAAAATTGCAACAAACTGAGGACACCATTTATTTTAGCCTGGGCAAAGTGCCCAAGCATGATGTGGGGATTGCTTCAGGCATGTTTTTCCTCTTGGTGCGCATACATTCAGCACACTTGGATGTGATGAAGAGGTTTGTGTGTGTCTTCCATGTCCTCATCCAGCACTCCATTAAGTCTGGGGCACACCATCCTGATCCCTTAACGCTTTGGCTCTCCTCCCCCGCTTTCCAGGCTGTGAGCAACCAAAAAGATGGGGTGCCGAGGATGCATGTAGGGGTGCCTAAACCCTCTTGCAGGGAAATGCAAGCCCTCCTTTCTATCCCCTGGATACTAACTGCCACCAGTCAAACTAACTGCCCCCATTTTGCCCTCCCAGTGGTCTGACTTACTGAAAGTAGGATTTGAGTGTGGATATGCATATGGAATAATTATTCTTCCTCCACCTAGCCCTAGATAATCCCTGTAGTTCAGCCAAGTGTTTGGTATCTCTGTGTGAATGAGAGGCCAGGCACCTGGGTAAGAGTTTAACAGCAGTATGACATCTACAGCCTGAGAGCACAGAAGCATGGAAAATATATCAGAACATAGTATAGGTGTTACCAAAAAAAACCTCCTAGAAAATAAAACGCAAAAGGAACACTGTTAAGTTATGCTGTTCACTGTTCTTCCTTGGCATTTCTTTCAGAGAAATGTACAGAAGACAGAAGGAACACTAAACAAAATATGGTTTGGAGCTAGGGTTGCCAGGTTCTACCTTTTGGTATCTCTGGGAGGGCCTTCCTGGAGGGGTGGGGATGTTACATGACGTCCCTGATGCAATGATGTCACCCAGAAGTGACGTCATCTTGTCAGTGATGCTATGTGGTAATGCTCTGGTTTGAGGGCAAAACTCTATGGTTTGAGGGCAAACTTACTGTAGAGTTTTGCCCTCGAACCAGAGTGTCCCCTGCAATGTTGCCGACATGATGTTGTCATTTTCGGGTGATGTAATCATGACAGGGACGTAGCTGTTTGGGGGTGGGGTTTCCCCTGCTCACCGGCTGTCTAGCAGTGGGCAGAAGCCCTGAAAACTGGGGGAAATCCCGCCCGGACCTGGGGACTGGCAACCATATTTTGGGCATTGGTGCAGGCTTCCCTCTGTTCCTTACCTTCCCCTGTTTTTGTCATGTTCCCACTGAGTGTGCTGAACATTTCACTCCTTCCTTCCAGATGTGAAGGAGTCTGTGGGACCATTCTTGTATTGGGGAGCTGAACTACCCACTCCCTGCCAAGCTGGCATTTAACCAAGAAAGCTGTTCTGACTTCCTTGGAGGAATGGTGGGATAAAACTGAAAGAAATAATCTTATTGGATGCCATGAAACCTGTAAACTTTATTTGCAACCTTCAGCATAGAAATATTAAGTATCCCAAAGAATGTTACCAGCAGTATGATGGAGGTGGCCATCTTCTGTGGCTTACTTCTCACACCTAGTACTGGGAAGTGGTGTGGCCTCTGAATGGTCAGGTTCTAGTTAACTGCCACAGCTGCCTTCAGCCTTACCTTCCATCATCCTGAAGAACTAAAATGGTACATTTTTCTTTGGTCAATTCCGTACCTTTCACCTCTTCATTTTACATGCTTGCACCTCCTCATTGTCTTTCTTTATAATTTTTTGTTCCTCCATTAGGATTTATCCAGAGAACGGTTTCTTTCCTTCTGAGAGGTAGTAACATAAGAACATAAGAGACGCCAATGTTGAATCAGGCCAAAGGCCCATCCAGTCTAACACTCTGTGTCACACAGTGGCCAGAAATACCAGTGCCATCAGGAGGTCCACCAGTGGGGCCAGGACATTAGAAGCCCTCCCACTGTTGACCCCCAAGCACCAAAAAGACAGAGCATCACTTGCCCCAGAGCCCCTACCTATACCTTGTGGCTAATAGCTACTGATGGACCTCTGCTCCATATGCTTATCTAATTCCCTTTTGAAGCCATCCATGCTTGTAGCCGCCGCCACCTCCTGTGGCAGTGAATTCCATGTGTTAATCACTCTTTGGGTGAAGAAGGACTTCCTTTTATCCGTTCTAACCCAACCGCTCAGCAATTTCATGGAGTGCCCACAAGTTCTTGTATTGTGAGAAAGGGAGAAAAGTACCTCTTTCTCTACCTGCTCTATCCCATGCATAATCTTATAAACCTCAATCATGTCTCTCCTCAGTCGTCATTTCTCCAAGCTAAAGAGCCCTAAGCGCTTTAACCTTTCCTCATAGGGAAAGTGTTCCAACCCTTTTATCACTCGAGTTGCCCTTTTCTGCA